TCTTATTTCTGTGAGTTTATATGTGTGAATTTTATAAACGAATCAATATTTTAACTTGCATTTTGCTGGTCTTCTATATGCCAAGTCAAGCATAAATAATGTTAATGTCATGGTTCCGATAGATCAGGGATCTGCAACCATAAACACTCAAAGAGCCACTTGGACCCGTTTCCCAGAGAAAAGAAAACACTGGAAGCTGTAAAATTCTGGGAGCATGCATACAAAGAGGGGGAGCTTGATTGAAGAGTTTAATTAAAAAGACTTAGAGGCTGCTGTGCATGGTCTCTGTCTCTGTCTCTCTCTCTCTCTCTCTCTCTCTCTCTCTCTCTCTCTCTCTCTCTCTCCTTCTTCTTCTTTCTCTCTTTCCTCTACCTCTCTCTTTCCTCTCCCTCTCTTTCTCTGTCTTTCCTCTCCTCGCTTTCTTTCCTCTCCCTCTCTCTCTCCGTCCCTCTCTTTCTCCCCCCTCTTCCTGTCTCTCTCTCTCCTCTTTCTCTTTCTCTTTCTCTCCCTCTCTCTCTCCTCTCTCTCTTCTCTCTTTCTCTCTCTTTCCTCTCCCTCTCTTTCTTTCCTCTCCCCCTACTCTTTCTCTCTCCCTCTTTCTCTTTCTCTTTCCTCTCCCTCTTTCTCTTTCTTTCCTCTCCATCCCTCTCTCTTTCTCTTTCCCTCACTCTCTCTTTCTCTCTCCCTCTTTCTCTCTCTTTTTCTCTCACCTCCTCTCTCTTTCTCTCTTTCTCTCCCACTCTCTCTCTTTCTCTCTCTTTTTGATTTTCTCTCTCTCCCTTTCTTTCTGTCCATTCATTCATTAATCCAGTCCGAGTGCCCACACGCGCCCACAAACACACAAGTTTTTCTATCTTGCTCCCACTTGGATCGAGAAGAGGAGGAACTGGCCTGAACGGAATGGGACAAATGAACATGGCTACCTTAAGAGCCTGCTGCCTCTCAGGCACCCCACCACAGCTGACACACCACAGACATTTATTTGAGTACCACCAGTGCTTAGCAAGGTGTCAAAAACTTGATGACTAAAAAAAAGGGGGGGGATTTTTGGTTTTACTTATTAGATTCATTTGTTGTTATAGAAATGGCTATTTTATAATATTATGGAAAAGTAAACAGTTGAGGTTCAATGTTGATGCAGCTGCCTCTCCCTCAGGCTGCTTAGACTGATTCCCCTCCCCTGCTACACTTGACTAGCAGTTGCGTACCACCTGCCACGTGGCAAAGTACCACAGGTGGTTAGCGTACCACTGGTTGAAAAGCCCTGGCTTAAAGCACGGGCTTTCTCCACAGCCCGCCAAAACGTTATCAACTTGTCCTTGGATGTTATTATGGCTAGCTGAGCTTACATTCCAATCCCCCCCTCTCTGCTGCATGTAATTTCTAAAGTAAGAAAAAGCATGTTAAAGGAATAGAGAAAATGGCTGCATTTTCATCAGTTGTCAGAGCGGAAACATCCTGTGTTAGCAGCATTGACAGTTAGAGGTTAAACTAGAATTTTGATGTTTTCATGGTAATATACGNCCACGAAGAGCACTCTGCACAACAGAGAATGAGAAGCAGCATTAAAATGCAAGACAAACCATCACCCAAAACCTTTTCTACTTCCTGCACGAAGTTTGAAAACTCTTCTCCTTTCTCATCAGAGAAAAGGGAGCAAATACTCAGAGTAGCTCCCTTATGGTTCATGGAAGGACCCATATAGGAGAGAAACTCTACCAGACGACCCAATGTGACGAAAGATTTAGCACGCACACTAATATGGTAAGACACAAGAGGACTCACGCAGAAGAGAAACCATATGAGTGCCCAGATTGTGGGAAAGGTTTGGGGGATGGCCTGTTCCCATTCGTAGCGTGGCCGCTGTCCAATCGCCACGCTGCCTCTTAGGAGGGCAGCATCAGCTGCCAATGCAGCGGCGGGGAAGGCGAAAGGCAATCCCGCCCACCAGATCAGCCTGGCGGAGGTGGGGTGGGAAACCGAGTGGCGCCAAAAACAGTGCTCTGAGCCTCAGTGATATAATTTTAAGTGAAGAATTAAAAATATTAAGGACTACGTTGTTAAGACAACAATTAGAAATAGAGAATTTAGCAGCTTCTGTGATGTGAGGGCCATGTGCAGAGCGAATTGATTATGGTTGTTGTGCTTGGGTAGATCATACTAGCTAAGATGTGCCTGATTATTCTGAAATCATTGCAAACATCATGAACAAATCAATAAATTACAACAAAAGGCTAGGGCCAGAGGGAAGGATGGTTGGGATCCCTTGAAAGGACTCAATGATTGGATCCCTAACAAATGCCAATTTGTTGTTGTTTGCAGTGTAGACCAATAATAACGGTTTGTTGTAAAGACTATGATTGGATGGAAAATGAAAGACGAGAGTGAAGAGGTTGGAAAAATGTTGCAACAATTTGAGAAATATGAATGTAAAAATCAATAGACAGTATGACAAGAAAAAGGGATTTCTGGGGGGAAAGGCCTATTGTTTTTACAGAACTGTAAGAAGACCTGCTAGCCTGTGAAGAAAATACATTGCACATATTTCTAATTTCACGAGTCTCCCTGACGCTTGAGAATTGTACGTAGGAAGGCCTCTGCTAGGCTAGAAACCCGTCTTAACCAGAATTTGCTGATACGATAGTTACTCTAGAGCAGAGGTAGGCAACTCCCAGAATTGGCTCAGGAGCCATAAAAGAGCCAAGGTTGCCTACCCCTGCTCTAGAGACAACCTGCCTAGGAAATAATAGCCATAAAAGGTAAACTTCCTAACAGTGAGGAATACAATAGAATTGAGCTGGGAGGGACCTTGGAGGTCTTCTAGTCCAGCCCCCTGCTCAAGCAGGAGAACCTACAACATCTCAGAGAAGTTACTAGGCTCTTTTTAAAAATCTCCAGTAAAGGAGCACCCATGATTTCTGGGGGCAAGCTATTCACTGTCAGGAAGTTTCTCCTTAGTTTCAGGTTGCTTCTCTCTTTGATCAGTTTCCAACCATTGTTTCTTGTCCTGCCCTCTGGTGCTTTGGAGAATAGCGTGACCCCCTCTTCTTTGTGGCAGCCCCTCAAATACTGGAATACTGCTATCATGTCTCCCCTATTTCGTCTTTTATTTAGACTAGCCAAACACAAGTCCTGCCGCCGTTCTTCCTATGTTTTAATCTCGAGACCTTTGATCATCTTAGTTGCTTTTCTCTGAATTTTTTCCAAACTGTCAACATCTTTTTTATGATATGGTGACCAAAATTGGCTGCAATATTTCAGGTGTGGTCTTAGTAGGGTTTTATAAAGTGGTACTAATATCTCGTGTGATCTTGATTCCATGCTTCTGTTTATACAACCCAGGATTAGCTAATGCTGCACACTGGCTTTTTTGGCTAATGCTGCACACTGATCGTCCACTAAAACTCCAAGGTCCCTCTCATAGTTACTGTTTTTAAGCCAGGTTTTGCCCAATCTGTATTTGTACCTTTGATTTTTCCTGCCTAAATGTAAAACATTGCTTTTCTCCACATTGAAACTCATTTTGTTGGATAGGGCCCATTGTTCAAGTTTGTCAAGATCTTTTTGGATCCTGAGTTTGTCTTCTTGGATGTTGGCTACTCCTACCAGTTTGGTATCATCTGCAAATTTGATGAGTTGACCTTCAATTCCCTCATTTAAGTCATTGATGAAGATATTGAAGAGTACTGGGCCTAAGACGGAACCTTGTGATACCCCACTGCTTACTTCTCTCCATGTGGATGTAGTGCCCTTGAGGACTACTCATTGAGTATGTTTTGCCAGACAGCTACCGATGCATTTGGTGGTGATGTTGTACGGACTCGTATGCACACAGACATACATCAATCTTAGGTGTCTATTTCTGTGGGCATGTGTGTTCATATATGTGTGATCTATCCAAGCCAAAAGAATTTTATAATTGAATCAGTATTTGAATTTGGATTTTGCTAGTCTTCTATCTGCCAAATGAATCATAAATAATGTTAGGAGTTAAACTAGAATTTTGATGTTTTCATGCTAATATAAGGGTTTCCTTTTTGCTGCTTTCACATGTCCTGCATCCATTTGTTAAACAATAATGAAACTGACCCATTAATATGAATCTTACAGACAAAGAGGATGCCAAGAAGAACACTCTGGACCACAGAGAATGAGAAGCAGCATTAAAATGCAAGACAAAGCATCAATCAAAATCTTTTCTGCTTCCTCCAGAAATTTTGAAAATTCTTCTCCTTTCTCACCTCACGAGAGACAAGGGAGAGAATAACAAGAACAAAGTTTTGAGCTGGAAAAAATAGAGCATGTGCAACTCAATGGAACATGACGTAAGAAGTCAAGGGGGATAATATCGAAATTTTTTAAAAAGTGGACATAACTGGAAGTCAGTGGGAAGGAAAAGGTCCCTTGGATAGCCAAAATGGACAGGCATTAATTAAACCCTTTCAGAAAGACTTGACTTGACTCAAAGAACCTCCAAGTAAGAGATCAGAAACATTTTTTGCCTCCTCAAGAATCCAAGGATATCAGTGTTGAAAAAACCCTACAGACTGCCTAATGTGGGAAAAATAGAGGTTGGGATCACAGCTGATTATGCAGGAGATGATCCATCCAGTGAAAATGATACAAATGTTTTGAGTGCGACAAAAACTTTACTCAGAGTAGTTCCCTTATGGTTCATGAAAGGACCAATACTGGAGAGAAGCTCTACCAGATGACCCAATGTGACAAAGATTTAGCACGCACACTAATATGGTAAGACACAAGAGGTCTCACGCAGGACAGAAACCATATGACTGTCCTGATTGTGGGAAAGGTTTCAGTCACAATTCAAACCTTGTGATACACCAGAAGATTCACACAGGAGAAAAACCATATGAGTGCCCAGATTGTGGGAAAGATTTCAGTCGAAATTCCCTCCTGGTGATACACCAGAGGACTCACACAGGAGAGAAGCCATATGAGTGTCCGGAGTGTGGGAAAAGTTTCAGTCAGATATACAACCTGGTGACACACCAGAGGACTCACACAGGAGAGAAACCCTATGAGTGTCCAGAGTGTGGGAAAGATTTCTCTACGAAATTTGTCCTGGTGAACCATCAAAGGACTCACACAGGAGAGAAACCATATAAATGTCGTCATTGTGGGAAAGGTTTTAGTCAGAATTCCTACCTGGTGAAACATCAGAGGACTCACACAGGAGAAAAACCCTATGAGTGTTCAGATTGTGGGGAAAGTTTCAGTCAGAATTCCAATCTGGTGACACATCGGAGGACTCACACAGGAGAGAAACCTTATGAGTGTCCAGAGTGTGGGAAAAGTTTCAGTCAGCATTCCAACCTGGTGACACACCAGAGGACTCATACAGGAGAAAAACACTATGAGTGTTCGGATTGTGGGAAAGGTTTTAGTCAGAATTCCTACCTGGTGCAACACCAGAGGACTCACACAGGAGAGAAACCATATAAATGTCATTGTGGGAAAAGTTTTAGTCAGACTTCCTACCTGGTGAGTCACCAGAGGACTCACACGGGGGAGAAACCCTATGAGTGTCCAGATTGTGGGACAGATTTCTCTTGGAAATGTGACCTGGTTAGACATCAGAGCACTCACACAGGAGAGAAACCATATAAATGTTGTCATTGTGGGGAAAGTTTTAGTGAAAATTACTGCCTGGTGAAACACCAGAAGACTCACACGGGAGGGAAACCCTATGAGTGTCCAGATTGTGGGAAAGATTTCTCTTGTAAATCTAAACTGGTTAGACATCAGAGGACTCACACAGGAGAGAAACCATATAAATGTTGTCATTGTGGAAAAGGTTTCAGTCAGAATTCCAATCTGGTGGCACACCAGAGGACCCACACAGGAGAAAAACCATATGAGTGCCCAGATTGTGGGAGAGATTTCAGTAGTAGGTATACACTTTTAAATCATGTAAAGTTACACATAGCAGAGTAACCATTCAAATGCCCAGATTATGGACAGTGTTCCTCTGAATTTTGTTTCTTGTCTCTTACTGGAAACCTAGCTGAGAAATTAATTTCTTGCATGATTCTTTTTAGTCAAGCGTGTTTTATTAAACATGAGGGAAGAAATCTGAGCTTCCTTTGTCTGGGCCAGTGCAGTCGTTCCCTTTCATGGAGTCATGGTGAACTGTTGTGGTGGGCCAGAGAAAGCGAGCTTAGATCTGTATTAGGTATCTTTGCCACCTTGAGTTATTTCTACATATAAGCGCGGGGTATGTATCTTTATTTGTTAAGAAAATGTATGTGGTACCCCAACTCCGAAATGATATAGGGTTACCTGCCTGAGCAGCGGGTTGGACTTGATGACCTCCAAGATCCCTTCCAACTTTTATTACTATTATTATTATTATTATTATTATTATTATTATTATTATTATTATTATCATCATCATCATCATCATTATCATCATTATCATTATTATCATCATCAAGCAACTTGCAAATGGGCAGCCTCAGTGGGAACATTTTTCATATTCATCTCTTTTTCCTCTGATTTATTTAAAATACTTATATAGCCATCCATGTAATAACGAATTCTGGCCAGCTGCCAATCAATAGTTAACTTAAAAAAACATATTAAAACCATTTTGTGCTTCTCTGTCTGTGATTGTTTGAGGAACTCTTTTTTTAACTTATTCTCCTGTTAACACAAGGGACAGGAAGGCCAGAGCTTCTTACAGAATTTGTCTGTTTAGTAATCCAAGAGGTTTGTACTTGTAATAGACATAACTAAGGAAGTCTATCAGTCTCCATTTCATTGTTTTTGTACAAGTAGTTACCGTGTTCCCCCAAAAATACAACCTACCCAGAAAATAAGATCTAGCTTGATTTTTGGGGTTGGGCCTAATATAAGCCCTACGCCCCAAAATAAACCCTACTTAAGACCCTGCCCACTCCGTCCCACCGTAGGTTTTCTGGCAGGCCGGATCGTGGGCCTCCCACCCACCCACCCACTCTGCCTTGACTGCTGCCAGTGCCGCCACTGCGAGGCAGCCTGAACGTTAAGAGAGCCGAGGTCTGAGGCAGGCAGAGGCTGCCTCCTATTTATCCCTGCCCTGGACTGGGGAATCCAGCAGGCAGGCAGGGGTGGGGACTGGCCGGGGCCTCAACCAGCAGCTTCTGTCTTTTACCCTCACCCGGAAGCAGCCTCCAGAGGGGCCTGCACTACCCCGCAGGCTTTGCTGCCTTTCTCTTCCTCTGCGGAAGGGCGGGAAAGAAAGCTGGGCGTCCAGAGACATCCCACTCTGGGACGCGACTCAGGTTTCCCTCGGTGGGGGAGGAAGGCTTTGGAAACTGCCTTTTCATTTACATTCATCATCAGTACTGTAATCCGCCCCTTGGTTTTTCAAAAAATGATTTGGATTTACCACCATTAGCCTCCTTGATCGCCAAAGGGAAGGCGCGGTGTGAATTCTGCACACGAGCCGCGGAAATACAGGCACTCGTGCCCTCAAAGTTCACGCCGCTTCCTCGCTCGGGGCGCACCACTGCTCGACGTGAGCATTCAACTTTGTGGCTCAGCTAAGCCAGGGGTAGGCAACCTTGGCTCTTTTATGACTCATGGACTTCAACTCCCAGAATTCATGAGCCAGCCACGCTGAGGGGAAAGGGAGAGGTTTCCAAACTGAGCCATGCTGGCTCAGGAATTCTGGGAGTTCAAGTCCATGAGTCATAAAAGAGCCAAGGTTGCCTACCCCTGAGCTAAGCTCTTCAGCTGTGGTGCGCCACATTTCCCATCGGCTTCAGGAATCCTGGGCGATGGAAACCTCAGGCCAGGCTCCTCGCAGCTGAAGCAATCCACGTCTGCTGGGGTCAGTTTGGCCCATCCCCGTCCCCAAGCTCCGTCGGACATGCGGGACGAGACTCCCGCGACAGCGAACTTGAGCCTGGGCGAGCCGGATTGCTCACAGGGAGAGGTGGCACGTTGCAGCAGGATGACTGCAAAGGGCGTGCACAGATCCCTGTGGCTCCTGGAGGCTCTGAGCGCTTTTTTTGGCACTGTGCCTGCGTATGAGTCTACCTCGCTGTTTTTGGCAGCATGACGTGGAGAACATGGCCGAGGTTTGGGTGATGGCCTGTTCCCATTCGTAGCGTGGCTGCTGTCCAATCGCCGTGCCGCCTCTTAAGAGGACAGCATCAGCTGCCAATGCAGCGGCGGGGAAGGCGAAAGGCCATCCCGCCCACCAGTTCAGCCTGGCGGGGATGGGGTGGGAAACCGAGTGGTGCCAAAAACAGCACTCTGAGCCTCAAAGTGATATAATGTTAAGTGAAGAATTAAAAATATTAAGGACTACGTTTTAAAGACAGCAATTAGAAATAGAGAGTTTAGCAGCTTCTGTGATGTGAGGGCTATGTGCAGAGCAAATT